TTAGCTTTCTAGTAGTGTTTTATAGAGGTATATAAGAACATTGATTGTAGGCACGTAGTTTACATTAAAGAGATAAATTAATTTTATCATTGGTGATGTTTCAGCCAATAGTTGATATCCTGCTACAATGTTAGCAAAATATTTCTGTTCTTTATTAGTATTGGTACAGACTCCCGAAGTCAACAAATTAGAGATAATGTAAGAATATTCTAGCAAGTGCATTTCATGTAATGATGTGTTATTTGATGGGAATTATTATTTTTTGGATACTTTGATAACTTTTATGAATCTAAAATGAGAGTTTTATAATTAGATATATTAATGTTAGCAATTTTCATTGTTCTTATTACTTTCTTTGTGCAGTTCGGAGGAAGATCTTGGATTTATAAAATAACCAAACTTATGTCAGTAGGTTAATTCTGTAACTTTTTCTGTCTGATGTCTGTTAAAACTGGAAACTAACACAAAAAGCCTTAGATTATAGGATGTGGTATACTCGGAGTTGGAATCTGGCTTCATCTGGCTTATGGAGGGTTTGCCAGCCTTTTACCGTCGTATCGGGCACTGAGTGCTGACAGTCTGTGCATAGCTGCAGGTGTTATCACTTTCTTGGTTGGATTTCTTGGCTGTTGTGGTTCTTGGTTTGAGAGTAAATGTCTTTTAATAACAGTAAGTAATAATGTTGTGTGAAGAATTCAGATCATGAGTTTCTTAAGCCTGAATGAAATGACTCTGTATAAAATTAATTTAAACTTCTTTACAGAATTTAGTATTATACCTAAATTGGTAACTTATAAACAGACATATGTGATATAAAAAAAAGAAAAAAAAAGATTTGATCTATATTATATTCTTTTATAATAAATCTACATAATCATACATATATTCCTGACCATTCCTATCACTAGCAACATAATCAGGTGCTATAAGACATGAAAATAATTAATAAATATTGCATCAAGAAATTTTCTACCATTTGTATTAGATAGTTCTAAAAATGATTACCTGAAGATAAAGTAAACAGATGTGTAGGTGTAGATATTTCAATTATTATAAAGGAAGTTATCCAGATGATGATGATGATGATAACAAAATGAGAAGATTTTCTTCAGAAGTTACATCATGTGTTACATAAGGAATTTGTTAGATTCTTTAGTATTTCACTTTTATACTTTTCTTTTCTCAAAATATCTAATGACACATTTCATCCATATAAAATTTAGATCATTGAAAGGTTGAGATTAAGTTTTTTTTGTTGATGTTTTTTCACAGTATTTCGTCATCGTGGTGCTAGTTTTCCTTTTGGAATTCACGGCAGGAACTTTGGGCTTTGCTTATAGGAAGCACGTGAGTAAACATATGTGTGTATATGAATTAGTGTTTGCCACTGTGTACTAAAAGAACATTTCGAATCACCACAAAGTGATTCTAAGACCTAAAGAACAAAAAGTGTGTTTGTAGTTAAGCACAAAGCTACACAAAGGGGTATGTGTGTGCTCTGCCCACCTTCAGTATCGAAACCCCCGATTACTAGCAGACGTACCACACATAAGCTCGAAAGGTGGTCTTTATTTCTTTAAAACATTTTTAAACAATTCCCAGTTTCTGGGTTTATTTTATGGACTTTTATACGTACTTCATTAGAAATAAATATGAAATTATTTCATTTTACTGTTTTTTTTTTAATGGTTTAAAATATATTGTTTATTTTACTTACTTTATTATTAGAAGACTTTCCATTTTCAGGTAGGAGAAACTTTACAAGAGGAACTTAAAGCAGGGATAGTAGACAAATACACTAAGAACAACCATAATGGATTGAAGAGTATTTGGGATGATATACACTTAA